GCATGACTTATAGATGAAGCCTACTTCGCACTATCTACCAAATTAATGAAATAATGAAAGCTAAACAATGTTCTTTGAACACCAGTCAGCGAGTCCGGCATAGGTGTTCTATTCCAGGTTTCTGTGGCTGTGCTCCTAAAGGCTCACATAAAGCAGAACCTCTGAAAAGACCATACGGTGTTGAAAGAGGCGATCACTCATAAAATAGTTCTCACCTAGTAAACTACAGATACTCACCGTTCTAAACATTATATTGCGTGTCATTAATATTATATTATGAGAATACATAACAACATGAATAATAGTAATACGTTATCGAAGACTCGTCGACAGTGTCTGTGATGTTTCGGAAAGTTTTCGACGCCGGCCGTAACACGCGTTCGATACCTACGCAGGAAAGTCTGTTTTATCGAGTATCTTCGTTTTTCTGCTGAGGTATTGTATCCCATTCAGTTCGGGTTTGCTCTGACAGACAGGTAGCTTCGAAGCATCCGGCCTTCTTAATCGTCTAGGTAGTGTCACAAAGGGCGAAGACAACCTGCTATGAATCATTCGCGAAGGTACGGTCACTATAGAGAAGTATCTAGAACTAAAATGCCAAAGGTTCCTGGCACTTACAGTTTTCCACTGACTAACCGAAGAGCTCATAGCGATATAAATAAAAATATTTTTTAAAAAAAAGTAAAAATCATCTTACACAACAATATACCAAAACGATGGCAAACATGGAAAAAAAAATATCCGCTTATTTTTGTGCAGTGAATCTGAAATTGACCAGCACGTTGAATGAGCACTGTCAGAATGAAGTTGCATTGCTTGATTCCGGGTAGACCAGTAGTTATCAAAATTCCTCGACGCAAGTATCAGGTGTGGTCGACAACGGATTGCCACAGTGACAATGAATTCCAGAAGAACCAATTGATTGTTCTTACCACGGCAGCACAAAAAAAGCAACCGTCTAAAAATAACCTACAACTGCCTCGGGCTATAGCAAAAAACAAGACTACCAAAGTTCAACAATCGTTTGTTCGATGTTAGCATAGGAAACCAAACATTTTCACGGTGGTGATCGTGATAAAGGTGAACATTTTGTTGGCGAACTCCAATCTTCAATGAAATCAGCGAAGGATGACAACAAGATGAGGGAATGAAACGTAATTATGAGTGTTATGGGGTTACAAAGCAAATGTGAGCGATTTCCAACATCTAAAAACCCAAAACAATCCATAGGTGATGATGTAGTTAAAAAACAGTCATTTGAAACAGTCAAGGGAAGAAACAAAAGAGTAAAAAGCAAATTCACTCAACATAATTCATTACGGTTGTGTGACTGTAATTTAGTGGAGCACACCGAAGCGTCCTGTCTGACGGCAACGGAAGCCAGATTGCAATGACAGACCAATCAAAATTGTGAGTTGTTTCCAGGCAAAAAGAAAGAGTCGCAATAAGGCGCAGAGAAGCTTTCGTACAGCAGCATGCGCCTGCTTATAACATTATTATGGTCAAGTATAGTACAATAACATTTTCTGGATGCTACAGTTTCCTGTGTAATGGTGGCTCTTTACGTGTATCTATACACATATGTACTGCATCACTCTTGTCAGTACGGAATTATGAATACAGATCCATTTATGCAAGATTTCTATTGAATAATATTTTGAGAAGAAAAAAAAAACAGACTCGTCTTCTAGGATATAACGATGGCTGTAGATTCTCACGATGGTGTCAAATGACTTACAGCCAGAAACAGGACTTATCCCCAGCTCTAATTGGCGATTAATGTTCCAATACGTGAAATTTTAGGAAACAGTTTCCAAATCATGAGGGGAAGAGGGAAACAAAATAATTAAAATTAAAGATGAGGGGGTAGGGGTGGGGCGGGTTGGGTGTTTGGTGGGGGTGGGGTGGGGAGGGGGAGGGGGGGGCTGATAGTGAGGGAGGTGGTTGAATACTTGTTGACAGTTAGAGAATGTTTAGGTGGGTGGAGGGTACACCCTCAGGAATCAAACTGATCGTAACATGGCTGGCACAGCTCACTGTGTCACATTTGTCTGATGACATTAATACAATGGACAAAACTTTTGGAAATGTTACAGGGTTGGGACAATGTGGTAAAAAAAACAACAACAAAAAACAACAACAACAACAACCTAAACCAACTATGTGCAATGTGCGAGTGGGATTGATTTGTCAGATCAGGGGAGTCCACCAAATTGGAGAAGGAAGGAGGGAAGACAACCGGTGTCAACTCCACCTACCCTCCCGTGTCTGTGGCCATGGAGTAAATTCCCTTGACGAGCTACTCTCGGTAGTAGTCCGGGTTGTTCTTCGCCTTGGCGATCGTCCTTCTTAGTTTACGACGAAGGTCTGACACGGGTCTGTTATCAGGATCTCCACCGGCCTGCAGATGACCAACCCACCCGTTACAACTACTGGACCATAATGCAGTGATTGGCGCTCGGTCATGAAAAGATTATGGAGTAGGCCTACCTTATAAGCATTACACATTTATTGTTATTTTTTCGGGCATAATCAGTTGCAATTGAACTATAGACTACGGAAACGTTAAAAACAACTGAAAAATAATAAGTTTTTGAAAGGTGCACCAAGTCCTGCACACTGTAATAAGATTATGAATCTGACAGCATTATTTGAAAGGAGTGACGCTCTTAACTTAGCTTATACATCGACAATAAGAAAAGATTAATGCCCACTCACTCTCTCTCCGAAAAAACTAAATTATGAACAGATGAATAGCTTTTCTAGATACACGAGAAAACAAGATAAAATCGCCAGAGCAGTTGTACAAGCCAAAGGGCTCTAATGTGTTGGCAGGAAAATCAGATGCTGCTCAATATTGTCGCAGCAATTTGATTGCATTAAACTTTGAAGTTAATTAAGTAAGCTTCTTCTTGTCAATGTTACGGTATTGTTGTAATACAAACGAGTCCAACTTTAAGTCAGCATATAATCATATCATAACTTAGTTCAAATTCTAAAGTCAAAGACTATACTGTATGTGTATCCTTTAGCTCCGACCAAAGTGAAGTTCTAACAAAGCGCGGCAAAAGCACAAGAGCCAGCAGTTGTAACAGTGCGGACGCAAGCAATACAAGAACATGTTAAGCAAACATACATCATTTAGCTCAAAAGAGAGAAAAAAGAAATAATTGCATCTGATAAAGATCTGGCGGTACCATTAATATCAACAAATAATGAATAGTAGCATTCATGCTTTCAGAGAAATTTGTTTAGATTTATAAGAAAATGCATGTATTGTAGTATTGTAACCACATAGAATAAATAAACAAAACATTCATTCCCTGAAGTATTGTAATATATAGTCTGTAACCGAATATTTGGTCTGAGAAAGAAAAAGATGGACAGGAAAGAAGCAAAAAGCGCAAAGTTACGTGTTTAAGAATAAGCGTTAGAAAGAGACAATACATGTGCTGTCTGTGATAGGCATCTTGTGCTAAGAATGATAACATGCAAAAAAACATCTCACAAAAGTAAGGCCAATATAATAATCAATATAAAATTTTAAGTGTGCATAGTAAGAGCAAACCAGAAATAGACTCGTACAAATTTTAAAAAAAAGAAAAGAAAACGTGCATTGGATAAAATGTAGAATCATGCACTGGTTGATACAGAAAACAGTTAAATGAATCAAATTATGTTAGGAAACCAATTATGACATTTACAGCAAAGCGAGGTTATAGTGTGTGTTATTATTTTTTTTTTCTTTTACCTCCACGAACTATTTAAGAGCAGGAAGTCCTTCTTTGTGGAAAGGGAAAAGAATATCATCAGTGGTGGTTAAAACGTGTAAGGGGGGGGGGGGGGGGATTTGCATGGAAGCAATAGTGGATTCACCACGAGCTATGAGCCCGAGCTTGTATTTTTTGACAAAGTTAATTTACAACAACCGTTTATGTGTTGTGTATTCTTTACGAGGCAAAACAGGGAACCAGGAGCACGTGGTGTGGTTGGTGGAGGGGGAAAGTGGAGAAATAGGTGAAAACAGGGGATGGGGTAGACAGGAGGGTGATTGTGACAAGCAAAGTGGTCGGTATATATATAT